GGAAAATTCCTGAAAACGAAAGAGACAAGAACAACGTGCACAAACAAATATTTGTATTTTTTATGATTTTGGGTTACAATCTCTCTCTATTTTGATCCTCTGATTCAATCTTCGTAAGGTGTTGATTTGTGGATGTTTCGTTGATCCAAGGGCCGTCGGGGCTTGATCTTGGATGAACTGTTGGAAGTTTCTTTAAAGGGCCGTGGGCTTGATCTTTGAAGGTGGATTTGAGCGGATCTTCAAGGAGCCGTTGGGGCTTGATCTTGAGGATGAATGTTTCTTCAAGGGCCGTTTGAGGCTTGATCTTGTATAACGGTGATGAGCGGATCTTCAAGGGCTTTTGGGCTTGATCTTGAAGAAACAGTGATGAACAGATCTTCAAGGGCTTTTGGGCTTGATCTTGAAGAAACAGTGATGAACAGATCTTCAAAGGGTTTTAGGCTTAATCTTGAAGAACGGTTGGATGTGTGTGGATTTGTTGATATTGTTGATCCAAAGGGCCGTTGGGGCTTGATCTTGGATGAACGGATGATGAACGATGGTGCTTTCTTCAAGGGCCGTTGGGGCTTGATCTTGGATGAACGATGAACGAAGAACGAAGAACACTTTCTTCAAGGGCCGTCGGGGGTTGATCTTGAATTGGTGAATGATTGTTGATCCAAAAGGCCGTTGGGGCTTGATCTTAGGACGAACGAAGAATGAAGAACGAAGAGAGCTTTCTTGATTCTTCGGGAACCTGGATGCTTGAGAGCTTCGGAGTTTCAGAGCTTCAGAGCTTGCTTAATGATTTTGGTTCCTCCTTTAAATGAATGAAATAGGCTTGTATTTATAGAATTTTCCAAAGCCTAATTTTGAATATAATATCCCAGATGAAATAAGTCGTTTCTGCCAGGTGTTGACACGTGCCCTATTTGATGACTTTTCCAGCTCATTTCAATTTTCGTCGAGTCACACGCTACGTGTAAAATTTATGTAATACATGAGCGTTGACACTTTGATTTATCGGTCAACATTTATTTACCGAAATTTCGATGTCTACAGTATCCATTAGTGTAAATATTTTAAATTGAAGATCAAATTTATTCATTACATTCTTATAGGGTCGAGGAGTGTAGCTGTAAAAAACCATTAAAATCGGAGCTAAAATAACCGTTAAATTGTGAATTTTTTTTTATAACCGTCGAAAACTTTTGTTCCATTGCGCAATCTCTGAATGTTTTTTTTTTTACGATTTTTTACGTATGCAATCTCGGAGTGTGTACAAATAAATTTGACGGTTGGATCGTTGAAAAACGTTTCGTAGAATGCATATCGAGTCAAAATGGTAGATTAAACAAACACTTAGAGTTAATGTTATACTTCCCCATCAAGTATAAAATACGATTTTGTGGTATCCACTTGTGTAAATATTTTAAATTGAAGATCAAATTCATTCAATGCTTTCTTATAGGGTCAAGAAGTGTAGCTGTAAACAAATCATCAAAATCGGAGCTAAAATAACCGTTAAATTTTGATTTTTCGTTTATAACCGTCGAAAACTTTTGTTTCGTTACGCAATCTCTGAATATTTTTTTTTATGATTTTTTACGTATGCAATCTCGGAGTGTGTACAAATAAGTTTGACGGTTGGATCGTTAAAAAAAGTTTCATAAAATGCATATCTCCGTTAAATTTGCCTAAATTTTTAAGTGGGAAAAGTAATTTGTGCTAAATTTTTATTTATGTTTTTCAAGTATTGATTACACAAGATTTAGTTTGTGTGATGACATTTTCATTGTACAATTATCATTTTGTTTCTTTAGTGCATATTTTACATTGGTTATTATCTATTAAACCAAACAATTATTTATTTAATTTTTAAAAACCTATTCTATTTAAATACATATTATTTATTTATTTATTTATTAAACCAAAAAATTATTATTTTATTTTTTAAAATCGTAACAAAATTTTGGGGGGAATTTAAAATTTTGGGAGGGAATTTTGGAGGGATTTTTGCCGCCATAATGAAAATCTTTTGTCTGTTTTTATTTTAAAAAAATTCTGTCGGTTTTAACCGACAGTCATAAAAATTTCTGTCGGTTTTTTATTTAAAAATGTTTTTATCGGTTTTATTTAAAATTGTTTCTGTCGGTTAAAACCGACAGTAATGAAAATTTTCCAAAATAAAACACCTATATCTCTTCCTTGCGCCAGTGCCTTCTCCCTTCCCCCTTCCTTCCCCCTTTTCTTCTCTCCTCATTTCCTTCTCCGTCTCTTCTCCCCTTCTCCTTCTCGCTTCAATCACCATGGATGAACAATTCTAGAAGCAAGCTGAAGCTGTGAAAATGCATGCCGACTTAAAGTGGATATGTACTGGGGAGATATGGGCGTTGATCTCTGGGATGCATATACATGGAAGGAACAAACTGAAAAATATGAGGTGCGAGTTTTTTTTTTCTTCATTTAAAATGTAGAGAAATGTGTATGTATTAACCTCCATTTTATGAAACCTTTTCTTCGATGTTGTTTCCTCAGTTCATTTGGCCATTTCTTGGCTACTCTGATTTGTTTCATTTTTTTTTATATTTTTTCATCAACTAGTCACAAAATCACAGCAAAATTACAGCGATTTCCATAGAAATTTCCCGGAAAATCCACTGCCATTGAGACTCAGGAGGGTTAATTTTGTCAAAGAAGACAAGTTTTGGTTTTGCTTGCACGTAAAGAATTGATCTTTAGTGGCCAAAATATGAATCCTAGTTATCCTTTTCCTCCCACAAACAAGCTTCTTTGATTCGTTCTGATTACATGTTATGGCACACCGTACAAAAAGTAAAATAGAATTGAGAAAAGCTTGCGAGAGGGCCATGAACAAATACATTCAATATCTTAAGAAAATAGTAAAAACAATTTATACCACTGACAGTCTCACAGTAAGCTTAAGCCTATTCAATTAAATAGAAGGAACTAATTAAACATGATGAAATTATTGTCGTTAAATAATCATAATTCACTCGAAAGCCCACTGGTTCTCCCTACGAATCTTTTCTTCTTCCTCTGGAGTGAAATCGTTCGTGATGTTGAAGGTCGTGCGAATCTGTTCAGGTGTCTTCCCCTTGATCATGTTCGCCACAGTCTGACACGTCAGGTCAAGCAGGCCCTTGATGTCGAGATAGTTTGCCGCCATTATTAGGTCATAGAGAATGTTCTGGTCGATCTTCATGAACTCGGCGTCCCACTCCTTGACATTTTTCTCGCTGTCAGCAGCAGTAGCCCCCTCATCTTCACTATGCTTCCTGCAGTACTCGATGACCTTCGCAAGGATGGCGCTCGTCACATTTGGCAAAGGAATGGCATTCCCGGCGCATCCGTCCTCCACCATGTGCTTGATGGTCTGCGACTTCATGGCCACCGCCTCTTCCACCTCGAACATCTCGTCATCGGAGCTCTTTAGGTTTATCTTCTTCTTCAAGTCCGCTGATGATGATGAGGCCATTGTTTTGCTCTTTCAAAAATTATTAAGTTTGAGAAAACTTGGGAGACTAATTCAATTCGCTTTGAGGGTTGACTGGATGCTTTGTGTTTCAAGGGGTGTGAGATATTGGGGATTTTATACTACTAAGTCCCTATCTCGATCAGAGATATTTTATCTTGTCCGTGTAGGAACAGGAGAGCAATTCCTTTATGTTTCCGGATTAGTTTAGTAAATTTAAGAAAATATTCTCATATTCCGTATAGGAGAAGTATTTTTCTAGGGTTTTATTTTTCGGTGGCCTTCTTTTTCTCTCCGTGTGAGCAGTGGCGCTCCAAAAATTTATCTATGAGTGTGGGCGACGTGAAAAACATCCTGAATTTTTTGAACCAAAACATACCTTTACAAATTAAACCATACTATTATGATTCATACTTTATGGAAGAAACAAGGCCTACAAGCTTAATAATTTGCCACAACAATTTTTCGTGGTAGTAGCTGCGGAGTTGTGGGAAACTGATAACAGAAGCGGTGCTGTGGGCATCATCGAAGCATGAATCGATGGTTTCGAACCAGTAAGCGCAATTTTGGCTGCAGAAGAGTCATTTGAGTGTGGCTTCTTTTATACAATCACTGTACTTTTTAACGCCATTTGGCATGTTTAACAATCATTAACAATAAAACTAAAGCATAAATTTTATCAAACAAAAAAAAAAAGAAAAAACGAAAGCATAAACCCTCCCATTTAACCATTCAATTGGTGATTAAGACAATCACAAATCAAGCATATTTTGAGTACATAATAGTTTATTTTTCTCAACTTCTTCATGTAAAATCTTATATAGTATGAATGTACGGTACATCCGTCACGTGATAATATTACTTTATTTATATTCCATCTTCTACACCTATTATAATTTATAACACATAAATAGTAAAATCACTCATTTGTGTGGCTTGTAACATACATACATTTCTCCTTCAACATGTTTATACAACCTTCTTGTTTCATAAAAATTTAATTTCTTGTGTCACCAGTGGATCCCAAGATGTAACATTACTAATTAATCAAACATGTAAATATTGTAAAAGGAGAAAAACTTGTGTAGGGCTCAACTCGCCACTAAATTTTGCTGGCAAAAAAAATCTTATCACTTGAATATGAAATATTTGTGGCCGTTAAATAATTATTTCGTTTTCAATTTTTAGTTTTCACTTTTTTTCTTTGAGATGTGAGAAAACTATACGAGGGAATAGAGGAAGAAATAAGGGTGGTGGAACAAAGGTGAAAAAAACAAAGACGAATGAATGAAAACATAATCGTGAATGTGAAAATAATTAAAATAGTTTTTGGTTTAAGTAGAATGAGTCTGTTTTTTCACTCTTGTCAGATCACTCTCTTTCATTTCAGATTGTAACTCGCACCAGCTTTTATCTTGCTGTTCAGATGGGTTTAGATTCAAATAATGAGATTCAAGTTTCAACTTTAAGCATGTATTGAATCTTGAATATGCTGTCCAAAAGATAAGGTTGAAGAAAGTATTGAATCTTCTATTTGCTGAGGAGTTTATTCAAAACAACAATAACAGTGCCCTGTCATGATTTGGCAGTTGTGGAATCATCTACAGGATGATAGAATCTGTTGAAAAACCAAATCGAATCGGCTTTTACTGCATATCCATCTTGATTACGGTGCCAACTATAGTAAGCATGTGTTCGATTCTTGATGTCGAAAGTAGCATGACCAAAACTGGCCTCTCTATAAGCTGAGTAATCTGGCTGTGGTTCGGTCATACTGCACAACAAAAGAAAATGTTTGTAGATTATGCATGCAGTGTTAACAAACAGAAGGACGATGAGTCATGAAACACCGATATATCAAGCATACTGATATACTTACTTGGTCGCTAAGCCTTCAATATTTCCTCCGTCACCAATGGTAATGTACACTGGTGCAGATTGATCTTTCACAGGTTTGCAAATGCCATTGACGATGTTGTATGCAACATTGGATACACGTTCCTGTGTTGTACAGAAATCACTTATCAAGTACTGACATATTGAACCATCACTGTGAATGGAGGATGGTAAAAGGAGAGTGTATCAGAGAGGGATATTTCTGCAGTTTACTCGTCGTTAAATGGATTTCCTATATTTTATCAAAAGATTAAAATGTTTGATAAAGCTTGTCATTTCATTGAATTTAGAACTTTCTCGTACAAACTAAAAATAGTAACAAAGTTTTTAGGTATAATGTCCAGTTCTATGCAGATATCACCACATCAAATAACTGAGAAACTATACTCTTTAATAGATACGGACGTGTATATCAAGAACTTACAGATCGTTCATATGCATGGACATGACCAGCAAATACCACGTCAACTCTGTACTTCGAAAACCATGGCTCATTCATCACTCTCATGGTTTCTCCTTCCATATAGTGATAGTTGTAGCTGTTATACCACGGGGAATGCATTAAAATAATCAACCATGGTGTCTCGCTTCTATTAACCTTCAGTAGTTCCTCCTGGAGCCATGTGAGGGGTGTATATACCTTAAGAAAAAGAATGGTGTTAAAATGAAATTGTTCTAGTAATCAATTTAACATAGACTTCGTACAGATGGCCTCTCTAGCTTTATGGAGATCATCTACTTAGTGTAAACGTAAAGGATAGTTTTGGGAGCATAATCTATCGTTTGAAAATACAGTCACTACAATATATCACTACGTTATAAAAACCATGAGTACTGGCATTCAAAACAATTTAGACAGTGTCCTTTGTAGAGACGAATTAACTTTAAGGTACATACAACATGGTACAAAAGAGGAGTGATATGACTTTATCTGTTTATCTCATTACGACAATTATAAAAATTATACAGATGCCATAGTTATTCATGTGACATTCAGAGAAATTTTTTTTGTAACTGCTAAGCTTTTTTTTTCCGCTATATACATGCATATGCCTTGTGCATCTTTTGAATAAATTAAGCGAAAAACCTATGTGTATGTGTGTGTATGCCTATCCTTACCATATGCGGAATAAGAAGACAAGACTATGATGTATGCCGAAGCTCTCTTGATCGAATACCAGAAGGGGGAAGTACTCCCAGATGATTCATATGGGACATGATACCGGTGACTGCAAGGCTTAAAAGGTTTGGTTTCACCCTGCAACAAAAGCGCAAATCTTCTTCAGAAAATTACTTCACGCAATCAAATTTTTGGGAGTTGTAAATTTATAAAACATGAGCAGCAAAGGATCATTATACTAAATGATAAACTTGAAAAAGAAGATGATCTTATCCAAGCGAGAAATGACAAATAAGATTGTAAGATCAACTCTAATGCGTTATGAGAAGCTTTCAATTTCCGGGGCAAAATCGATTTCATAATTCCCTGCAGTTCATATCCAAGATTGATAAGCAACACTTCTCTCGACGAATCTTCCCCAAGTATACCACCTGACATTGTCATGATTTGGGTACTGATCTGCATAAGAGAGGTCCCCAACAAACAGTACAGCTTGTCCTTTCCGCGGGTTTAACTCGTAATGAGTAAGTGTCTTATTTGAGTCATAGGTCTGTCCCAGATCCCCTGCAAATGATATTAGATGTAAGCAAACACACCAGAGCCCAGCAATTTACATCGCAAAACACTAACAGTTGAGTCTCTTCATTATTCAGTTCCCAAGTTAAGGCAAACTCTTCCAATTTACGGAGTTGCACATATACCAGAGTACAAGTTTCATAAGATGAAGAATTATAATTTGGTTTCCCATCTTTCGAGATGAATGGAAGAGGCACATTGCAACAACCTCAAACTAGTACATAGCATGAAATTTTCTTTGGATCCCAATTCTACAAGTTGAACCAAATCTAAGTAGCTACATCACTTTAGGATGCATCCTATTCTGATACAAAACACTCACCTATGAGTCCAAAGGTGTAAGTGGCGTCCGGACCAACTTCAGGAGTAATAAACCAGAACTTCCGCTCAGTGTGGCCAATTCCAACCACATAGTAGTATTTGGTATTGAACTGCACATAATATATATATAGACATGTTAGTCATGTACACACTACAGTCAGTAGATTAGCTATTGGATCTTGACTGACGAATTTAGCGGATAGATCTGAACTACTTAAATATCATGTAAATTATATATCTTGTACCAAAATTAAAAATTAAACTTCGAACACACTACAGTCGCGTTCGTTGGCTAGATGCTTTGACTTCTTTAACACTTTCTTCCAGTTGCAAATGCAGGCACAATTATGTTGTGATTAAAGCCCATGTGCTCCTCTATGCATCCAACTTCAGATCTCTCCCATCACAATTGAGATTATATTCACATACATAACTGTTCTCTTAATGTCCTCATTTGAAGATCCTTTTTCACGAGTCAGTCAGTTTAATATTATGGTAGATTAAGGTATCAACTTAAATAATCTATGTTACACTGAAACACAATCACTATACTCAGAGATGTTGACTTAGGCATTGGAGATCCATTGACCAACCTCCCCTACCTTGTGGGCGAGTGATGTAACATGGACGACCAAAAAGAGGAGGAAGATGACAACGCCGAAAAAGAGCAGCAGAATTAATCTATATTTTTTGAGAAGGAGGTGGGCTTTGAGGTTTAGAGGGAGGCGATTCCCATTTTAATTTTATTTTTGCTTTTTGGTTCTCATTTTAGTACTTTCATATCAGTTTTTTGTTATAATTTTTATAAACTTAAAAGAGTGACTATAATTGTATATGGGTCTAAATTTTGGTTATTTTTTCAAATTTTATAAAAGCATGAAATTACCCATATGCATTTATTGTTTTTCATTTCTTGGTTGTTAGTAAACACATGCATGAATGAGAATCATACTCTTGGTTATTAACAAACATGCCATAATATTTTGTTTGATACTTGTAACTCATTATCATTTGTATGTATATATCTAATTGCTAACATTTATGAGTTGGAGTGCTAGATGGATTGAACTTGTTAGCAATTAGATGGAATGTTTATCAAGTCAAATAATCAACTGGTCAGAATAACGCATAACAAAATTTCTCTCCCTCTCAACATAAATAAGTGTAATGAATAATTAGTGTTAGTACTGTGTTACTGTTTCGTTCTACCCCAAACGTTCTTTGAAGGCTTCCAAACTTTCTTAAAACCAAGTCCAAAAATGTAGAATAACAGCTAGAATATGTTTGTTCCATAACAAAAATAATATAATTGTAACTTGGGCACCAAAATCCTGTTGGATTGCAAGCAACATACAGACCATGTTTTGCCGTTCTTGATAGCCCATCAACTCAAACAAAACAAACCACCCTAACTGTTCATGACCTCATAATCGTAAACTACGGTTATTACATGTTATGCAGACTTACCGTACCTAGAAATCCCAATCCAACTTCCATTTTTAGGGGTGCAAGTTGGAGTAGGTCACCGATTTCTGATAGTAAAATCTCCGAAGAACTAAAAATTCTAAACCTGAATATTTTCCAAACAATTGTAACAAAAATTGGAATGCATTTAGCAATTCCGATTATTCTGAAATAAATTTCCAAAAAAAATTCTAATTTCTTATAGTTATTTACTTAAATCATGTACTTTGTTATCAACTTTTATATTTTATTCTCAAAGATAACATTATGTACACAACAATCATCATCCGGGATTGATGTGTACAAATTTACAATTGTGCGTCTCACATACATAATTAGATCACACACGTAAGAGATTGACATCCATCAACGGGTGACATTGAAAACAAACCTCCTTACAAGAAGGATAATGCTTGTATTTCCTCATGTGAGATCTAATTGTCCATTCGCTCACCATTTATGAATTTTTATAATTCGAATATTATAATGAAAATCATTATTTTTTTTTATCATCATCTAAAAATCATATTTCCAAAATAAATCATTTAAATATTTGCAAAACATCATAATCGGCATCTTTCCCTTATTCGGCTTCTCGTTATTTTCTCCAACAAGAAAACAAACAAAATAACCATCCCCCATCAAATTTCAAAGCCAAACAAACAATGGCATTATCCAACTACCATTCAAATCCAACACTCCACACAATCCCCCCCCTCCACGTGCCGCCTTGTGATTCGGCCACACATTACCCGCTCCCGTAAGCAAACCCCACTAAAATCCATTATCTACACCACACTCCTAAACTCCCGCACATCATCACCGTCGCTTTCGTTCAATCATTACTAGGTTTCATTTTTCAACGGTTGTGTTCTCTTTTATGCTTAAACCCGACCGCATAGGATTAAACACTTCAGGTCCTCGTCGACTTTATAAACCAAGCCAAGTCCTCCGGGGGGCTACCAATCGGCCTCTGCTGTTCAACAATGGAACGCATTCTCTCTCTCCTCGTCACTTTCTCTCTCCTGATCGTCTCGCGTGCGCAATCGGACAGCGCAGATCCCCTGATCAGGCAAGTGGTGGACGGCGGCGATGAGTCCCACCACGACCACGACCACGACCACGTTCTCGGGGCCGAGCACCACTTCTCGCTCTTCAAGCACAAATACGGCAAGTCGTACGCGAGCAAGGAGGAGCACGACTACAGGTTCGACGTGTTCAAGGCGAACCTCCGCCGTGCCGCGCGCCACCAGCGGCTCGACCCCTCGGCTCAGCACGGCGTGACTCGGTTCTCCGATATGACCCCTGCCGAGTTCCGGAAAAGTCAACTCGGACTCAGAGGGCTGAAGCTGCCCGAGGACGCCACCAAGGCTCCGATTCTCCCGACGGAGAATCTGCCTGAGGATTTTGATTGGAGGGAGCATGGAGCCGTCACCGCCGTTAAAAATCAGGTCTTTTATTCTTTTTATTTTTAGTAATTTTTTTGTAACTTAACTTTAAGGTATCTGTTTATTGATTGGGATATTCGGGGTGTTTTTTTTTTTTGGAAATTAGGGTTCGTGCGGATCGTGCTGGAGTTTCAGTACTACAGGAGCGTTGGAAGGTGCACACTTTCTCGCAACTGGAGATCTTGTGAGCCTCAGCGAGCAGCAGCTTGTGGATTGCGATCATGAGGTTTGACTGCTTCTTTTTCTTTTTGTTTTATTTGGTGTGTTTCTGCTGTATGAAGAATTGGGCGTTTTTATTAGTTTGTATATATTTTGGGGATTTCGATTGGTTGATTTTGTTCGATTTTGATTGGCAAATTCTTTTGGGTTTGTGTCAGAATATTTGTTACAATTGTTTTGTTCAAATAATTTGTAATTGTGGTCTGCATGTGGAGGCCCCACATGGAATCTGGATGAGGACGAATAGTTATCTTCCTCAAATATACTTTGTTTTTGTCTGGCAGTAGTGAAGGGCACAAACTTGAACTTTTTGGTTGCATTTATAACATACCCTGAGACGGTGTCTGAAGTCTCAACACTTGTCACAAGGAGAATGGAAAAAGGTTGAAATTGTAAGGATTTAGCTAAAAATTTGGTTTATAAGTTGCAGGAAATATGGTCTTTATGATGTGATTGGTGTCTGCTGTTTGTTATATCTGTTGTATTTATAACCTTATTGTTGGTGAGTATTAGTCTGTTCTGTGTTGAGTTCAGGAGTGACATGATTGTTGAATACTTTAACCGGGCGTTGCTTGGTTTTAATTTGTTTATCACAATTCATGGCGGGTTTTGTCTTGGATTTATTAAGATTGTGATATGTATAAGTTTCATTTGGATCTAAAAGGTCAATGGTTGTTGTTTGCTTATTGTGTTGAAGGATTTGAAACAGAAGTGGTTCTTGTTTTTAACCAGCGTTGATGAAATGTATGCGCTCCTGCTTATGAAGCACCGTTCTCATTCTACATGTGTTGCAATTTGTTGTCTTTGATAATACATTAGGAATGCATGTCGAATGGTGTTATCAAGTTCTTGTGTTTGTGTTTCGTAGTAGTACATAATGAATGATGCTTGTTATTGAGCAATAGAACTGCTTGACTTTTGCAATCATTCTATGATGACTCCTACTGAGAGGATTTTTCCTTAAATTGCTGTTTCTTACGCGTTCCTTCTGAACATTGTGCAGTGTGATCCAGAGGAGGCAGGTTCATGTGACTCCGGATGCAATGGTGGACTCATGAACAGTGCCTTTGAGTACACACTCAAAGCTGGTGGACTAATGAAGGAAGAGGATTATCCATACACTGGTACTGATCGTGGAACCTGCAAATTTGACGAGAGCAAAATCGCAGCATCAGTTTCCAATTTCAGCGTTGTCTCCCTCGATGAGGATCAAATTGCTGCCAACCTTGTGAAAAATGGTCCTCTTGCAGGTACTTAGAACTTTAGAAATTTGTAATTTTGTTTCTTTCCCTTTCTGTTAATAAGTAGTTTGTTATTCATATGTTCATCGTGAAATTTCAGAGCGTTACGTTAAAGATGTTGGCATAAGCTCTAATAGTGGTTAGGATTGGCTGGTGTTAACGATTTTCCGTTGTTCGAGTGCAGTGGCTATTAACGCGGTGTTCATGCAAACTTATGTTGGTGGAGTTTCATGCCCCTACATATGCTCAAAGCGGTTGGATCACGGGGTGTTACTCGTAGGTTACGGTGCAGCTGGATATTCTCCCATCAGATTGAAGGAAAAGCCATACTGGATCATCAAGAACTCCTGGGGAGAGAACTGGGGAGAGAATGGATTCTACAAAATCTGCAGGGGCCGAAACATCTGTGGCGTGGACTCCATGGTCTCGACTGTTGCTGCAGCTTCGGTGAAGACCAACTCTGAGTAGTAGGGGCCAACCCTAGCTTACAATTGCAGTTGTGTTGAATGTATATACAGGTTGTGGTGACATTCATTGGGCATAACTCCAATTGTTTTGCTGTCTTCTGTGAGGCATGCAAAACATATGACCAAACAAACATAAGACTCCATTTATCTTATATAAATCTTGGTGTTTGCCCGAACAGCTTAAATGTCCTTTTTTTATGTGTTGATGCAAGTTGTCGGAAATATACATGGATTACGGAGTATAGTTATTGCTTTAGCAAGAACATGCGTGCTTATTTAGTCTGCTTATCCAATTTTATCCGCTGCGTCAAAAGGTTCCTTCTCCCATGTTTCAGATTCTTGAAAGTGCACTTTTAGTGGTGCAACTTGGATCGTAACTTGTGAACCAGACGGAATGTTTATAAATTTTTCAGCTCGGAATCGGTTGGAATAGGGTATTAGTATCGATGTAAGTCTAACTATACAACTCCAATAATTAGTTCGAGTTTGAAGACCTTCGATCTGATCCAGCCGGAAACCAGGCCATGCACATTGTTGTGATATAAAAATACGTTGCCTAATCAGTGAAGGAAAACCCAAATGAACAATATTTGGTGTATTGTTTTTAAACTAAATTATCAAAATGTATACAAGGAAATTAACCTTTAAAGTTTAAAGTGTTTTGCGACTTAGTACTACGGTCTAGTGGTATTCCTCTATATTCCTCTTCATTTGTAACTGAGAGGTTTTAGGTTCGATTCTTGCCAAATGCGAGTTTGAATCACATTATTGCTTGCTCATTGTGAGACTAAGCCCACCACGTTGCCTTAGTGTAGATAATATAATTTATTAAAAAAAAACCACCTTTAAAGTGTTATAAAAAAATAAAAAATAAAATAATATAAAAACATTTTTAGTCTCTATGTAGGCACGGAGGATTTACTCAAGTTGACTAAAGCAGTGTTTTCTATCTACAACAAGTTTGAATTCCTCTCCTCATAATTTTTATATATATTTAGTGTAGAATATATCATATTGTTAATTTGTCACCAAAAAAAAAAAATCCCAATTTGTGTGGCCACCACCAGAATGTGATTAGCAGTGGCGAGGCAAACGGATCTCACAGCGATTTAAAAGGATTCAAGATGAAATCGAACAGATTCGAAACAAAATCTATTGGCGTTTGCGGTAGAGATCGTCGTCGATTTCTTGTAATTTCATAAATTTGTTTGGGTTATCAAGAGCAAGAGTCAGAGAAGTGAAGGAGAGAGAGTACAAAATATTCTTTTAATCTTAATATGGGTTAAATTGTACTTTTCTTGCACAAACTAAAGAAGCACATAAAACTAGGGCTAGGTTCGGTTGGCAAACCGTGTCAAAGTAGTTGTGTCACCAACCAGCCACATATACATAATTATCGAAAATCAGTTACCGCTATTCAACCATCTTCTTGCGGTTGCCAAAAATTGGTTCAGCCAAAATTATTGGCTGGTTCGGTTGGTAAATAGTACAATCGGTGTTTTCGACTTCTTCCTCGCTATCTTCCAATTCCAAGGGCTCAATTTGATTTTCAAATTGGGGTGCTTGTTCAATTGCATTGTGTGGTTCATTTTGCGTTAATCCATGTTGTGTACTAACGGTTGATTAGTTAGACTCCATTATCCTAAACATAGCAATGC